TTTTTTCTTTTTTTTGCAAAATTTATCTCCAACCTCCCTTTGCCAAACACAAAAAAAACAAACATATCTGGCAAACCAAGCTTTATTAAAAATAAAATTAAAAAAAGTCAAGACAAGGAAAAAGCATGTGCTAAGCTTTATTGAAGCAGAGAGAATAATGAAAGGGCCCAAATCCAACGCAATAAACCATATGGCAAATGGGGACAGTGCTATGTACCCTCTAAACCTCAAACCATGTGCGCCAGCCTCACCTTTGCCCAACTCTTCTCCCATCTTTCCTAACAACCCTAGCTTGCTACTACTACATTATTATTCTCAAGAAATTCCCTTCTACTTTCCTCCTTTTCTTAGATCTATGAATAAATATTGTTAATCATTTGGTATCAAGAATACTCTGACCGAACTACTTTAGATTCATGTCACGTAAGGCTTATGTTAAGGAGAAAATTTTGCTTTCCTATTAGAAATTTTTTCATTCGCAAAGTTTAAACAGGAAATCTCTAAGGGATTTCATCCATCTTACCATATTACTTGGTGGGATTTTTAATAATAATTAAGAAAAGGGCAGCCTGGTGCACTAAGCTCTCGCTATGCGCGGAGTTCGGGAACGGCCGGATCACAAGGGTCTATCATACACAACCTTACTATGCATTTCTGCAAGAGGCAATTTCCACAGCTCGAAGTCATGACCTTCTGATCACGTAGCAGCAACTTTACCAGTTGCACCAAGACCCCCTCCATTTTTAATAATGATTACACATTATAAATGGAGGTTCCTCTTTTTTGCTTTTTATTCTGAGATGAAGGCTTCTTTTTTTTTAAAAAAAAAAGAGAGAAAATAATACTTAGTTATTTTGGTCTTCTTCTGTCCCTATATAAGCAACAAAATTATGATGTCCAATTATGAGTTCTAATATTTTCTCATTTAAAATCTATTCATTTTTTGGGTAACCTTGCCCAGATCCAGACATGTCTTGAGATGATATTTTGATCAGAGTAGCGTAAACTAATGGTCGTCACAGGCAAAATATAATATATAGTAAATGACAATTTGTCATTTTGTTCTTATTTAAAAAAGATCAATTGTGCTTCTGGGAAATTTGCTAATATATTGAATTATGCGATAGCCGATAGAATATACTTTTGAGCTAGGCTGATTTATTTTTTAAATATAATAGTCATCGACAATTTTGGCTAATCTGAGAATTTTATGAGTTGAAATAAATTTCACAGCAATCACTTTTACGAGTCATTGTCCTAAAATTATGACTATATATTCATATTCATTATACCTTTGTGTTTTTCTGACATTAGACTTAGCAAATGTTCGAACTTTGACAAGTTAGTTTTTTTTTTCTTCTGGAAACTAGAAAGTGAATGGATATGATAATTGATAGCTATTCTATTTAGTAGAGCTTTGATATTTGGATAAAATTTGAAAGAGGAAGTACTCCGATACGTTAAAAGAAAACATATGATTGGAAAAGATGGTCTATTAGGTATAACCATCTGGTTTAAACTTACTAACTCGAGTAATTCAAACCCGTATCGTGTATGCACTATTAGACGGGAAGAACTTTCTATCAAAATTTCTTAATTTTTAGGGCTTGAATCATAATTTCTGATTAAGAGTAAAGGGATCTCATCCATCTCACCATATCGATTAGCAGTTGGAAAAAGTACTCCTCAACGAACAAGCAACCGCAAGTCAAAGGTAAAATTCAAGAAAATGGCACTTTAATTTGTGGGCAGGTAATTATTTTCACCCTTAGGAAATTACTTATGCCAGTTTCACTTTCCTCTTTCTTAGTCTTGAATTTTGTTAAACTTTTTATTTATTTGTTTTTTTATTTCAGCCAATTTTGTTATACTTATCAAAAAGGCAGCCCGGTCCACATTTTTGCAAGAAGTTGTTTCCACGGCTCGAACCATGACCTCCTCATCACATGGCGGCAACTTTATCAGTTACGCCAAGGCTACCCTTCTAATTTTGTTATACTTATTAACTTGATTATATCAATTTAAGTGTCAAAATTTTATGCCCTCCAAAACTTTCTCAATTTTATGATCTACGAGGAGGAATTTTTATTACATATTTTGCTCTAATTTCGAATAATCATATTGCTTCTCCACTTTCACCAAAACATCAAATGCTTTTCAATCAAGTAACGAAATTCACCTCACTTTCTTTGCTCACGTTTTTAAGTTATACCCTAAACGAACTCAAAAAGGAAATACCTGGAAAATATTGAATAACTTCTCCACTATCGGATTAGAAACTATTTATTTTTTCTGTTTTCCCATAAGTAGAATTCTTTTTAAAACATAACTGAAAATAACGATGTTTGTTTTAAAACGGACTAGTATTAGTATCCGCGCAATGCGCGGACATAATCATATTAAATTATGTGTAGGTTACTTGAATAATGTGCAAATAACCGTAAAATATAAACCTCTCAGATAAAAACTATATAACATTAGATATTAATTATGAAGTAGGATATGAAATTATTGTTCAAATTTCGTAGTGCATAACCTATTTTTTTTTTTATATTTGTAGCAACCTAACCTTGATTTTAGTCTTGCATTTCGTTTCGCTATCAATATTAAAGAATACTAAACATATCATGTTGTGATCTATCTTGGTTGAGCACAATAGATCATATTATTTTAAAAAACTTCTTACTATCACTTTGTTTTTATCTAAAAGTTAAATATGTCTTATCAGCACATTATTTGTACGCAAATTCTTTTTGCTTTTATTTTTTCTTATCGTTATTGCATTATTTATTATTTAATATTATTGTACTATCATATAATATTTATTAGCTTAATAATTAAATTAATGTCTTACTTATTATTCTTTTAATAGTCTTTAATAAATATAAATATTTTATTCTTAAAATTTGGTATATTTTTATGCTTGTATCCTATCATTCGAAATTTTTTAATCAATTAAATTTATTGTAATATTATCAAACATAATTTAGTTTTTTTAGTTTATTTATTTTTAAATTAATTTAATATATAAGTATCCTCACACTATCTCTATTTTTATACATTTCTTCCCTACTATAAATTTTAATTAGTTTTTACATTAATTTTTTACCTATAGCCAAAATAATATCATATTTTATTTTAAATTGTAAAATTAATGTAGGCTAAAATATTAATACATAAGTTATTTGATGATTATGCTCCAAATTTATTGAGTTCTCTTATAATTATATTTTATTTAGATGCAATTAAATTTCTTTTCTTTTTTAGCTTTAAGATATAGATTTAATATTTAATTTTCAAAATTACCTATATTAAAAAGGTATTTTATATTCTTAAAATTTTATTTTAATATTAGAAAAATAATATTTTAATTGTTTGAACATATTATATTTTTTTGGTAATTAACTTTATTTCCACGTAAATATATACATGTATAACTCTAAGTTTGGACATTCATCCCCAACTTAGTAACATCTCTTCTTCAATGCCCACTCTAAAGATAATAATTGAGATTTTGCATACTATTCCTCAAACTACTTTGTCTAACACCTATACAATGAATATCTCTAACTATCTGTTTAGTAATATCATCACTACTTCTCTTAATCTTGTGAAAGATTCTTCTATTTCTTTCCAGCCATATGTGGTACACTGCTCCAGTCATACCTATCATGTACAATATAGTTTTAGCACCATTGCCTTTCATCAGCTCAGTAGCCCATTTGATCTCCTCATCCCATCTTTTTGGTTCACGATTGATGTTCATCCATTTTAGTAATCTTCTCCATACATCTTCTGAGAAAGAGCAAGTGAAGAAAATATGGTTGTGACTCTCCATCGCATGCTCGCAAAGTGAACATTCTGGACTGACTTGCATTCGCCATTTCCTCAATCTATCTTTTGTATATAGTCTCTCCTGCACTATAAATTTCCACTTTGGACAGCTTTTGTTATTGCACAGCAGTCGACTCCAGCTTACCTTCGGGAAGTCCCCTCTTAGTTGCCTATACATTCCTCTAATGGAGAATGAACTATTCTGCATTACCCTTCCTGTGTCTAGACCTACTTCATTCAAGTATTTTCCAGCTTGTAATATCTTCCTTATTATCCAATAAGCTTGTTTTGCATCAACTTCCCATGACTCCCTTCCTTTTAAATAGTATGCATGCACCCATTTGATCCATAGTTTATCCTTTTTCTTCCCCAAGTTCCACATATGCTTCAGTAGAGCTGCTCTATTTCCATGTGTTGAGGTCTGTAACATTCAGCCCTCCCTTAGTTTTAGGCCTGCACAGCTTGTTCCATGCTACTAAAGCCTTCTTGCTCGAGCCGGTATCACCAGTCCATAGGAATTTCCTACACATGGCTTCAACCTGTTGGATGACTTTCTTTGGCAAAGGAAAAATCTGTGACCAGAAAGACTGTATGGAATGAGTACACTCTTGATCAATTGAAGTCTTCCTGCATAGCTCAGAAACTTCATTGTCCACTGTCTTATTCTCCCCAGCATTTGTCTAGCAATGGTTGGCATTGGCTTACTGATAACCTTTTAGTACTTAGTGGAACACCTAAGTATCTAAAAGGAAGTTCACCTGTGCTGAACCCTGTAACTTGAGTAATCTCCTGTTGTATTGCCCTTGAAACTCCTCCAATATATATGTTGCTCTTGTTCTGGTTTGCCACCAAGCCTGAAGCTTTTCAAAAGATGTTGAAGCACTCATACAATAGCTGCACAGACACCTTATCACCTCGACACAAAAGAAGCAGGTCATCAGCAAAACTGAGCTGGATAAGACTTGGTTTTTCACATCTTGGGTGGTAGTTGTAGTTAGGTTGATCCTTTAAGCTCTTCAAACTTCTTGTCAGATAGTCCATTGCCAAGACAAATAACAATGGAGACATAGGATCTCCCTGTCCCATTCCTCTTCTTGCATCAAATGGAATAGTAGGGCTGCCATTGATATTGATAGAATAGGACACTGTTTTAATGCATTCCATAATCCAGCCTACAAACTTTGAAGGAAAACATAGTCCATCAAGCACCTGCTCCAAAAATACCCATTCAAGTGAATCATAAGCTTTTTGCATGTCTATCTTGATCATGCATCTAGGTTAAATCCCTTTCCTACCATAACCTTTTATCAGTTCATGGCTGAGCAGTATGTTATCCATCAGTCCTCTCCCAGGTACAAATGCCGCCTGGCTCTCATCCACCAGTGTGTTCCTAACCATCCTTAATCTACTTGTCAGCAACTTGGATATGATCTTGTATAAGGTAGTGCAGCAGGAGACTGGTCTGTATTCTTTTATTGAGGTTAGGTTCTCACTTTAGGAATAAGTGTAACTGATGTGCAGTTTATTGGTTTGAACATTTTCCCAGTGCTAAAGAACTGCAGAACTGCCTTTGTTATCTCTTCTCCATTCATCTTCTATGTTCTCTTGAAAAAGCAAGCATTAAAATCATCTCCCCCATGTGCCTTCATATCATATTATATTTATGTAGTAATATGTTTACTATCATTTTATTTTTTTCCGTAATAATTTCCAAAATAAAAAAATTATGAAATAAAAAAAAATCTCATCTCAAATTCAAATAATTCTTATCATTTTATTTTCTAAATTGGAACGCAGTTTCAAAAAATTATGCTATGCTTTCAAACTTATACTAACTGCACTCAATTCAAATATTAATCATAGAAAAATATTTTCTTAGTTGTTTGAACACATTATGTCTAAATGTTGTAGTAATATTTTTACTGTCAGCTTATTTCTTATGTAAATTTTCTTTCTTTTTAGCTTTAATGCATATTCAATTTTTAATTTTTATTAGTATAATTACCTATATTAGAAATTTATTTGTATTTTAGTTATTTTATTCATAAATAAGACTTCAATTTCGTGATAGTATCCATAGTTTGAGCATTCTAATCATAGTTTTAACAACTTTCTAATTTCAAATTCAATTATTTCTAATAGTAAATTTTAATAATTAACATAATTTTGCTAATTTTTTAAGTATTGTATATTTAATTTTTACAAATTTCTAATTTCAAATTTAATTAGCCTTTCCCTTACTAATTTTAAGTTTGTATATTTAACTTATTTTATTTTCTAAACTTATGATTTATAAATATCCTCACATATCTCTAATTTATTTCTATTATTCAATATTTTTAGTTTTTGATTTTATCTATTAGACTTGAGTTATGTGGACCTATTCATATTATGACTTTTCTTATCATAATATAAAAAACTTGCTCATCTCAAATTTAAATAAGTTTTACCGTTTTTTTCTATGATAAAAAATCTAAAAACAACTCTCTATTTATTTTGTATTTTTGATATTGTATTATTCAATACCTAATATTATTACATTGTCATGTGGGTTTTTATTAGCTTGTTTGAATTTAATATCTATTTACCACACTCATTCTAATATAACATAGATAAAAATTTAAAAACTTTCTCAAATTCAAATAAGTTTAATTATTCTATTTTCCAAATTTCACTGCATTTTCAAAAATTATGTTATGGTTTCAAACTTAAACTAACTACACTAAATTCAAATTCTAATCACAAAAAAATATTTTCTTAATTGTTTGAACCCATTATATCTTAATGTTGTGGTAATATTTATGTATAAAATATTTATTTGCCCGATTTATTAAAATATGACATTATTATTCTTGTTATTAAAATATTTTTTTACTAATTATTTAAGTTTTTTCATACCTTATAAATAATTTATATATTTTATGTAAGATCTTATTTTGCTGCTTGAATTTATTTAATTTTAAACTTAATAAATTTGTAATATCTTAAGTAAATTTTAATTTTATTTTAACTTACTCCAACGTATAAATAATCACAGGTTATCTAAATCTACGTCTTTCTATATTTTTTTTACTTTTTTCTATTATAATTTTTCGTTAATTTTTTACCTCCATATTTCTAGCTAACATAGAAAAAATATCTATGGGTGGATCAATATAGATTTATAAATAGAGATATAGCTACAAATATACATATAAATATAAATTTAAATGTAGATACATAGATTAGATTTGTCTAAGATTTATTTAAATTGAGTATAATATTTATAAACTACTTACATTAATTATGTTTCCATTTATAACTCAAATTTTTAATGTTGCCTTAAAATTGCCAAGTGGCTTTTCTTAGCTTTCCACTTGGCTTAACCCCATGCTTCACTACTCTCCTTTTAATAAAATATAAATTACGTGTTTTCAGGAAATAAAAGACAATCAAAAGAGAGCACTCGACCGTATTCTTTTTAAAGGTTATGCAAAAACAACCTTTTCCAAGATTATTTTCCAAAAAATAAATAAATGTTCCTCATATAAATAACTGCGTAGGTTTCTCTTTTTCTATTTCCAATATGCTGTTGAGTATTGATACCTTGTCAGGGGCGTCTTTAGGGGGTTTCATAGTGCACCTGGGTGTACAAAGGAAACCGACAAATCGCATCAACCCGATAATCTGAGTCAAACCGGAAAAAAAAATCCGACTATGATTTTGTTTGATTTGGTTTGGTGTTGGAAAAAAAACCCGACCATAATTGGTTTGGTTTGGTTTTAACTAAAGAAAGTCAAACCGAAACCAAACCAACCCGACATTACATATATAGAAATTTTAGATATATTTAATATA